CTAGTAGGGACGGTATTGACTCTTTGTATTTCAGTAGGTTGAAATAGTAGTCATGAAAAGATACTATATTGTAACAGAGTTAGTTCATGTGTTAACAGATTAAACGCGAAATAAATAAATTACACCTACTCAAAGTGGTTGTTCAAGTGACAAAGGAGCTTCTGTATGGGGATAAAAAGAGTCCCGCCGAAAGCCAAAAAAAAAAAAAAAAAGAAAAAGGGAAGAGAGTGTTGGAGCAGATGGAGCTTGTATTTAATTGTGATCCTGGCCCAGATATGATAGATCAACCCCAAAGATATCTACATTCTGCTCCATCACTGTCCTGTCGGTAGGTGAGACTGACTCTTTGGTGCCCTAATCTTTAAATTCATAAAATACTGATTTACACGATGTTAGAAGAAAAATAATATCCCATTTATCTCAATTTTATGTGTTTGATTTTATTAATAGGGTCTTAATCAAATTATTTATAATTTAATTTTCCTAATATTTAATTTAATATTAATATATTAAATTTATACATTAAAATACTATTAAATTTAAACATTATTTTTAAAAAATTAAAGAAAATAAACGGAGAATTCAAAAAGATGGATGATGTATTGTGTTATTATATTTGAAAATGCAATAATTACTAACATTAAAATTTGTCTTAGGTTGTATTTCTCTACTAAAATCACTCTCTAATATTCACTATGTGATGTATCATTATTGTATTTAATTATTGCATGAATTCTTTATTAATTCATTAATAGAGTTCACCAATTCATACGTAGTCAATAGATATAAAAAATTTTCGAATCTCAAATCGCATGTGAGCGTTGTTGTGATACACAATGACCGTGTAGGAGCCATTTGTTTGGGTGTTTGGTAAATAGCTATTAGCTGATGAGTTATTGGGTTTGACTAGTTGATAACATTACCTGATTGTAAAAAATGTTCAGTAAATTAACTATTAACGAATAACTGATGACATGCAAAATGACTTTATCAAAAAGTTGATTGAAAAAGCTACTTCAAGCAAGTTTTTTAATTTGAAATTTTGAAAGAAAACTTAAACATAGATAAGAAATCAATATCCTTCGTCTAGATTGTCTCCCCTCACCTCACTTTAGCAAATATCTTGTGCATCACATCATAGTTAGGTACTCACTATGTACACATATCATTAAAATTTGGACTTCACATAATATCTTGAGTCTTGTCATTCCCATGTTTGGGTTAATCGAAGAACAGTGATGCCTACACATTTTTGGATGAAGGACTAGTTCATTAGACCAGCCAGATATTATCTTAAACACATATAACAAACCATTTGTTAAACATCTATCTATAAGAGATGATTAACTATTAGAATTTAAGGTTAACTATTTCGTAGGTGAGACCATAAACATCTGTACAAATACCCCATTTGCATATTGACATGATGTGTCTATGTCATTTTTTTTTTTTTGTGTATGTGGCTTGCAATGCTCGCTTTCAAATATAGAAAGCATTGCAAGCTTGTTTTTGGCAGTTTTTGTATTTATTATTATTATTATTGGTGGTTTTATGATTATTCGGGAATAGTCAGCCGACATGCAATATTACCGGTTGAATACTGAAATATAAATATTTGAGGAAAAAATAGATGGGACAGAGTATTTTTAACGTGAAAAACACGAGTATTTTTGAGCGGTGCCAAACCAAAATTCACTATCTTTGTAGGTAATTTTTGTACATGGACGAGTTGGATCTCTCTTTCTCTTCCCCTCATTGTTAGAGAAAGATGATGTCAAGCGGATAAAGTTAAGTAGTGAACATAGCTTCTTGTATCGTTCCCCAACATAACTTCCCCATAGACGACGCCAATGTTGGTTTTATGACTACCAGGGTAGTTAGCCGGTGGGCCAACATTACCAACTGGATAATGAAATATAAATACTTGGAGAGAAAATAAATGGGACAAAATATTTTTAACGTGAAAATCGAAATGTGAAAGCTATGGGTCTTTTGGACTTTGCCAAGCCAAAAATTACTATCTTTGTAGGTAGTTTTTGTACATGGAGGAGTTGGATCTCTCTTTCTCTTCCCCTTATTGTTAGAAATTATTAGAAGTCTCTCCCCCATAATGTGATTGAACCCCTTACAATGTGACCCATATGGGGTATTTATCCATAGAGAATTGACTAAAGAAAAGAAAGAAAAAAAGTCTACAAATTTAACTTTAGACAACCATCGATAATTGAATTTTGGATTCCTTAAGCATGGGATAGATTCCCTTTCTTTAAACTGAAAATGGAGACGGGAGGTGAAAAATATGGTAATAGATCAGATCTTCTAATTAATATTTCTGGATCCTCGCTTTGGAGCTGGTCGTGGGTCTGACCATGCCACATACTGCTAGTAGTAGTAGTATAGGTGGGCTGACCACCTCCTAATTGCCTAGCAAGGCCAACTGGGTACCTCGGGACGGTTATCCACCAATTATTATTATTATTATTATTATTATTATTATTAAGAAGAGTGAGTTGAAATTGTATGAATATATAAAAGAAATAGTGATTATAAATATGTTAATATGATGGTATAATTCATTTTTAAAAGTATGATACATAAGCGAGTATTAATCGGATTTGTTATGCGGCAACGGAACAATGTGAACCGTTGAATATTAGATATGGCATTTCCGGAGTTGATGGCAGAATAAATATTGTCGGACGACCAACAAACAAATTAAAAAGGAGAAACGCAATTATATATGCCAAAGTTGCAAGTAACACCACCTGCACCTCCACATACTCACCTCACGTGACTGCCCTACTCCTTTGCTTTGCTGCTGCAGCAAAAAAATAAAATAAAACAAAATAAAATAAAATAAAAAAAAAAAAAACAAAAAACAAAAAACAAAAAAACAAAAACAAAAAAACAAAAACAAAAACAAAAACAAAACTTTATGGGCGATATATGCATACTTGTCGTGTGGACTGTGGACTACTTAAATTTTGAATGACTTTATGGATATTCAAAAACATTGTTGACTACCATTATTCGTAAAACATATATTTATTTGGCTGACTGATAAAAGGAAACTTGCAATTACTATTCAAAGATCTGTATTAAATAAAATTTTGTTTTTATGTAATAGTGTATGAATTATACATGAGAGGTAAAACGTATTAAAAAAAAAAATTGTGTGATAGATTCAACTAAAAAAATATTGATAAAAATTAACTTGTGATATTCAGGTACAATAATAATGCTTTACTCAGTATCTCTATTATATCCCTTTTGGATCGGAGTTTTGTAAAACATATTTTATGGGCTGCAGGGAAGTTTTTTACATGCTTGCATGTATGTATATTGTATTAACACCTATTATGCATCTCATTTTGCTAGAAATATTAGAAGGAAATATATAGTATTTGTATACATAATAATAATACACATAAAGCATCAAGCATGTATGTCTTTCTTTCATCATTCTATTTTTTCTTTCTTTCTTTTTTTATTACCGACCTTTTGTAGCTAATAGCGAAATTAGGCTTGAGCCTTATGTGCTATATACATAAAGTTTAAAGAAGTAGAATACAAGTATTAATGAAATATATTGTAGAAATGATATTTTATTAATAAGATTCCTAAGTCTAAATACAATTCTTTATATACAAATGAGAAAAGGGTCAAATAGACCCCTAAACATATCGCTAAAGGTCAATTAACCCCACAAACTTTTGAAAAGGTCAATTGAACACATAAAGACACAATTTTGAGTCGCTTGGCCCCATTAACCGGTAACTCCACAGGTAAGAGCCGGTAAGTGAGTATGTGGTGCCACATAAGCTTTATTCTATGTTTTTTGGATTCTTCACATCAGCATAAATTAATAAAATTAAATTAAATAAAAAAAATTTTAATGGGTCAAATAAACTCATTACCGCATCGTCCCTAAATTCATCGCGATTCGTCCAGCCCTCCAGTCCTAATTCATCGCGATTCGTCCAGTAGCCCTAATTCATCGCGATTCTGTCATTCTCGCCTTAGTCCAGTTGCTCGTCATCGCACCAGCCATTGCTCACCACCTTCGTCTCTCGTCATCGCTCCACCACCTCATCGCACCACCACCACCATTGAAGGTATTTTTCCTTTTTTCTTCTACCACTGGTTTTAGGGTGTAGATTTTTTTCTTTTTCTTTAAGCAGTAGGAATTTCTTCTACCACTGGTTTTTGGGTATATGCTACCGCAAATTGTTTATGAGTATGGAAAAATAAAGCTTTTTATATGTTTAGGGTGAATGAGCAGTAGCTTTCAAAAGCTTAGTTGTTTATCTTTGATTGTATTTGTTTAAGGATTGAGTCCCATTATGTTGTCAATAAAGGAGACAGTTTGGGTATTGTGGTCCTGATGAATGCATTGCAATAAGTGTAGTTGTGGTATTTTATATATTAGGTTATTGAATGGTCCCTATATTGATGTTTACTGCCAGTACAGTTTGGTTTATTGGTCGAGAACATATTTTATTTTGGTTTGGTTGGTGTCTGTGTTTCTTTCTTAGACTTGCACTACTATATTTAGATTCTGCATAAACATTTGAAAATCAATAGCCTAGATTTCATAGTACTATACCTAGTTACTTACTTGTTGACAAAGTATGTTGTTTGTAATCCTGGTAATTTTAGGGGCAAAGTAGAAAAGGCTTTTTGCAGGATTAAAGTATGCTTTTTGTAATCCAGTTAGAATGCTTTTAATACAATTAAACATGTCTATATTTTGTAGAATGTATTCCAGTGTTGAAATCAGAATTCACCATGGTGGAAATTTTGTCAAAGAACCTAGGATGGAGTATATAGGTGGTGAGGTGGAAATAGTGACAATGGACCCTGATTATTTATCATATCCTCACTTGTTGAAATTTATTAAGGAGGAGAGGTATGGTAAAATATTGTCACTGTCATTTAAACTACTACATGAGAGTTTAAAGAGCCTCCAATTGTTGAATAATGATAAAAGTACATTGCACATGAGTTACTTGGGTCAACATTGGGGTGCAATTGACTTGTATGTTGATCATGGGATAGATGAGGCGGAGGTTGTTCCAAATTTAGCATTACCAGAACCTGAGCATGCAGATCATATTCAAGAAGATGACCCAGATGATGAAGAAGCTAGTTTGGAAAGCAATCATGAAGATGGAGATTCTGATTTGGAAAGAAGTCCTCAAGATGGAGCTGATTTCGTTGATGTTGAGTGCCAAAATGCAGAAAATAATAATGAGGACATTGGAAAGGCTAGGGCAGAAGGTGAGACTCAAAATGTGGGTGAGAAGGATGATGTGCAAAGTCAGTATTATGACTCTGATGACCCATTGAGTTATCAATCTGAAAAAGAAGAGGCACAAGCATCATTTGAGCAGACTAGTGCAGCAACAAGTAGATTTAAATACCCTTCCTACAATCCAAATGTTGAGTCAGTTGAGCTTGAAGTTGGTACCCTATATGATGATGCAAAACAGTTTAGAAAGGCAATGATCAATTATGCTGTTTACTCAAAGAGAAATATCCACTTTGTGAGGAATGAGCCACATCGTGTGTCCCTTGCATGTGACCATCCTTGTCCATTTCAAGCTCATGGATCATGGGATGACACTTTTAAGTGTTTTCAACTTAAAACAGTGACTATGGAGCATATGTGCAATCTAAAGTACAGCTTAAGATTAGTAAGTCAATCGTGGATAGAGGAGCGATATGAAGATAAGATAAGAGACAACCCTTCAATTGGACAAACAGAATTGAAAAAACACATCCAATCTGAACTGAAACTGAATGTGGGAATCTGCATGGTAAAGAGGGCAATCAAAGCTGTATTGAAGAGAATTGATGCTGGTTTTCAAGATCAATTTCGTAGAATAAGGGATTATGCTGATGAATGTATCAATTCTAATCCCGGCACCAAAGCTTTTGTAAAAACCAATAAAATAACACCCGAATGCCCTTCTGTTTTTCAGAGATTCTATGTTTGTTTTGCAGCTTTAAAGAAAGGGTTTTTAGAAGGATGTAGAAAAGTAATTGGGTTGGATGGATGTTTTTTGAAGGGAATGTTGAAAGGTGAAATACTGAGTGCAGTTGGTAGAGATGCTAACAACCAAATGTATCCTATAGCCTGGGGGATTGTAGAGATAGAAAACACTGATTCTTGGGGTTGGTTTCTTGGGCAATTGAAGTCAAATTTGGGCATCACTGATACTTCCCCTTGGACTATAATTAGTGACCAACAAAAGGTAAAGACTAAATCAATACAAAACCACTTGTAACACTTTATTTTAGCTTTGGATTATACTTATTTTGTTTGTTATATTTTGTAGGGATTAACACATGTAATTAAAGAGTTGTTTCCTGACGCTGAGCACCGTAACTGTGCAAGACACGTGCACGCCAATTGGAGTAAGTTACATAGAGGCAAAGTGTTAAAAAAACACTTTTGGATGTGTGCAAAGGCTACTAATGAACCTGAATTCGAAGAACAAATGAAATGTTTAGGAAAGATAGACCCTACAGCAAAAGTTGACTTAGAAAGGTGATTTATAATTTGTGTTTTAGATGTGCAAAATCTGACTTTGAAGTGTGCAGAAATCGATTTATAACTTGTGTTTTAGATGTGCAAAATCTGACTTTGAAGTGTGCAGAAACTGATTTATAACTTGTGTTTTAGATATGCAAAATCTGAATTTGAAGTGTGTAGAAACTGATTTATAACTTGTATTTTAGATGTGCAAAATCTGACTTTGAAGTGTGCAGAAACTGATTTATAACTTGTGTTTTAGATGCACAATCTGAATTATAATATGTGTTTTGAAGGTACCCTCCAAGATTTTGGTGCAAGGCTTTCTTTAGAACAACTGTCAAGTGTGATGCTGTGGATAACAATCTCAGTGAGGCTTTTAATAGCACCTTAGTCAAAGCAAGAGTCAAGCCTGTTATCCCTATGTTGGAAGATATAAGAGTAGGGGTGATGCGGAGGATTGCAAAAAAAATTAAATCGGTGGAAAGATGGACTGGAAATTATGGACCATTGATCATGAAGAAGTTGGATACAAATATACATGAAAGTATGGGGTGGAAGGTAAGTTAACTTTCAATTGAGCAGATGAATATGTGCTTAATATAATGCTGAATTTAATTTCTGTTGAATATATGCGCTAGGTTGATTTCAATGGAGATGATGGCTATGAAATTAAGAAAGGGAGACAGCAATTCAAGGTCAAACTTGCAGCTAGAAGTTACTCATGTAGGGCATGGGATCTTTCTGGTATACCATGCCCACATGCAATATGCGCCATCTTTGACATTGGAAGGGAACCTCATGAGTACATTGACTCATGCTATTCAAAAGAGGCATATCTAAGGACCTACGCCCATGCACTTCAACCAATGAATGGAGAGCTATTCTGGCCAAGGACACAAATTGAGGAAATACTTGCTCCAATTCCTAAAAAAATGACGGGAAGACCAAAGAGAAAAAGAACACGTGAGGCAAGTGAAGGTCCATCTCGTCCTAAGAAAAATACATCAACTACCGATAAGACCACCTCTACCTCTGCAAAGAAAAGAGTCTCAAAGAAGGGAAAAGAGATGCATTGTTCTCTTTGTAAGAACTCGGGCCATTATAAACCAAAATGTCCTAATAGGAATGTAAGTACTCCAACTACTGCCATGTTATAGTTGTAATTGTTATTATATTAATTGTTTATACTCTTTTCCTTTGTTGTAGCTTGGTCAATCACAGGAGCAAGTCATTCACCCTAGATCAAACTCAAGCAATCAAGCTTCTCAAGCCTCAATGAACCAATGAACTGATTTTGGTGTTGACAGCTTGTAAGATACATTGAAACTAAAATGTAAATGCAGTGGCAGTTTGGTATTATCTTTTGGCAGCTTGTATTTCTTTTTGGTGTTGACAGCTTGTAAGATACATTGAAACTAAAATGTAAATGCAGTGGCAGTTTGGTGTTATCTTTTGGCAGCTTGTATTTCTTTTTGGTGTTGACAGCTTGTAAGATACATTGAAACTAAAATGTAAATGCAGTGGCAGTTTGGTGTTATCTTTTGGCAGCTTGTATTTCTTTTGGTGTTGACAGCTTGTAAGATACATTAAAACTAAAATGTAAATGCAGTGGCAGTTTGGTGTTATCTTTTGGCAGCTTGTATTTCTTTTTTGTATATGTGTGTGTGGTATATACACATACACACAAACCACAAATTTTATCTCTTTTTTCTGGATTGTATCTATTTTGAAGAACACTTTAAAGTGGTCACTTCTTGTACATTCTTTATTAGATACTCAACTAAAACAAGTTTAAACTACAACATCAATTTGACAACAAAAAAAAATACAAACTTCATTGGAGTAACTAGCAACGTACATCCATATGACAACACAAATAAACCAAATTAATATATTACTAAACTACGGCAAAGGCATCATAGAACCATAAGGATTTAACCTTTGTTGCAAACTTACAAACATAGCTATTCCTACAACAATAATAAAACCAATTATTATGTTTCTTGGTCTTTTTTTTCTTTCAACTTCAGCTTCAAAATCTTTCTTAACATCACTTCGCAATTGTCGGATTTCTTCCAAAATTTCAGACTTCATCTTTTTCAACTCTATTCCAACATTCTTATTCCAATCAGAGTCAACCTCATCATCTTTCCATAGAGCATTTTTCCAGATAAAAAATCCACATCCCCCTTCCTGGACAAATACGATTAAACAAAAAATTCATAACATTTTTAAACCTTAAATGCAATACATATTATACACTTATCAATAACATTTCTAAACGTTAAATGCAATACATGTACCTTCCACCTTTGACACCCAAAAAATTGTTGCCCATTCTCTCGTGATACACATAGTGGTGATTTCAACCCACAACGGCAATACAATGGTGGTTCATACTGTAGATTTGGTCTCGCCTTTGAGGGAGACGAAAATGGTGAACCACTCCAACCTGATGATGTCATCTCCAATGGTGAAATGCGAAGTAGAAACCTAAGCACTGTACTGGGTCAGATGGCGTAGAAGAAAGAAGAAAGAGATTTCGAAGAAAGAAGAAGAGAAGATTTCGAAGAAGAAGTGAAGAAAGATTAAGAGAAGATTTCGACGTGAGATTTAGGGCTGTAGAAGAAAGAAGAAACAGAAGATTTCGACATGGGTTATTTAATTTTATTTTGTTAATTTATGCTGATGTGGAGAATCCAAAAAACATAGAATAAAGCTTATGTGGCGCCACATACTCACTTACCGGCTCTTACCTGTGGAGTTACCGGTTAATGAGGCCAAGCGACTCAAAATTGTGTCTTTATGTGTTCAATTGACCTTTTCAAAAGTTTGTGGGGTTAATTGACCTTTAGCGATATGTTTAGGGGTCTATTTGACCCTTTTCTCTATACAAATTGAGTTTGGAATATGTTAGCTAGGTCAAGGAGTATACTAGAAAGTTAGAAATCAAATCTCTTAGTTAGTTGGAGAAAGCCTCCATTTATAGTGATGAGTCCGTAAATACATGTTGAAATTAATCATGATGATAAGTCTTAACATATATGGCCGCACACAATTAGTGGCTCAACACCGTTTAAGTCAATTATGACACGTATTCGGCATTGATTTGTTGTTTGAAAAAATCATAACAATCTCCCACTCTCGGAGACCAATGAACACCAAATCTGCTAGTTGGCCATCAAGTTATGGTACTCATAGACTTGCATATAACCCTATCAATAGTAACATTAAATGAATCAAGAAATTGATTTAAGCACTAGATGTCACTTTTACAACCTTCATGTATACAAGTAGGAGTTGCTTTGTTGTAGCCCGGATAGACTTAACTCAATGATTCATTAGACAGTATTTGGAAGAAGAGACAAATGTTCGAACCTCGACAATAACAGTGTGAGAATTATGTTCAAAGTGGACAAATCCCTTGTGTGCACCGACATTTGGTGCTTTAATTTGTTGCACTTTTCCACATGCCAAGAACCATGCATCTTGTAATAACATATATCTAACTCGCACATCCTTGACTTTAATTGGTCCAGCTGCTCATCAACTCAATCAATTGAGCTTGAGCCTTCAACCATGCTTCATCATACCCTTTGCCTCGTGATCCTACATTTCCTAATGTCTCACATTTTTTCACTAGACATGAATGCCAGTGAAGTCGCTACACTAATATGCTTGCCCTTTGCTATATATCCCTCATGCACCTCACTTTTCAAACCACCTCTTCTTCATTCAAGTCCACCAAACACAGACCCCTTCACATGGGTCTAATAATTCACAAAACTCTCAATAAATCCATATAAAATAGAGTAAGTTGAGTTTCATAAATCATAATAATTAAGCTACAGGCCGAGTTTGGCTGAATTGGAGGCACATCTTTTTGGCCTGGAGATTTAAGATTGCTTCATTCTCAAAGTCAAAGATCAAACTCTTGACCTTTGATTAAGGATGAATGAGTCTCTTCCACTCAACCACCCCCTCCAGGTTAATGTAAACTACTATGATTCAATGACTTAGTAGACAGGCCAAAGAAGGACTAGTTAAGAGCATTATTATCAGTTGGGAAGAATATGGGGAGAATGTAAGAAAGAGAATGTGGGAGGGGAGAGAAAAAAAGAAAAAAAATGGAAAAGAAAAGAGAAAACTGATTTTTTTAAAAAAATAAAAATTAAATACCAGCGTGCCTGCCACATGGTCGCGTGCACTGCACGCGTTCGGGTAGTGCGCAAACATTTGTTGTTGCTTTTTTTTCTTTCTTTTTTTCTTTTATATTATTTCAATAACTTGCAGGCCAATTATTTTTGTAATAATTCTTCTTAACATCAAGTATTAACTCTGATTGAGAGAATTCATGTGACAATAACTCTAAAATAACCACTATAATGGATGCTCTAAAGCTTGCTTGGTACTAACACCAAAGAATCACTGAATGACCGTTAATGTATGAGATACGTGTATGGCTCTGATTTGAAGCTACTTATTTGAGTACAAAACGAACAAGATCTTTCTAATTGTGACTTCCTGATTTGCAATCTTTGGAAAGTTTTTTTGGAATCTTATAGTGCCACGTACTTTTTCTTTCTTTCTTCCTTTTTTTTTTTAAAAAAAAAAATAATTTTGTTTTACAACTGTCCTCTTGTTTTTTCCTAAACTTTGACTTCTTCTTCTTCTTCTTTTTTTTTTTTTTTTAATACAAAGTTTCACGTACAAAATGAGTTGCAATCCCTAATTAGCCAGCTAGTATACATACTATTATAACTATATATACACCTCCTCCTAAAAAAAAAACCTATATATACACCTCATCAATAACTATATATAGGAAACTTTTATCCCACCTATTATATTGTTACATTCGGCATTATTAGAATTTATGGATATATTTATGTTTGGTGAAAATATTAAGGGGAGAGAATAAAAGATTTTATTAATTTTAATTTAATTAAAGTCAAATTCAAATTCTTAATTTTAGTATATATAAAGAAATATTTTAATAAATTTTACTATAATGATACTATGCCAAAAAAAGTAAAGGCTTTGAAAGAAATCACATCTTTCTCTTCTTATTTTGACCATGGCCGAAATGCCCATGTTAGGAATGAGGCACTGAAATTGGAAGTACCAAAAACTTTCATTGTATATAAATGCATTTCACGTCAATCGACATTGATAACGGACTTATACACTATATGTATATATATATATATATATATATATATATATATATATATATATATATATATATAAAAGGATACAATAATGGAGATATACAATGTAGTAGAATAATGAATTAATATTGTATTGCTAATATAAGAATTCTTAGTACAATCCAAGTAAAATGTAAAAGAGTTTGGAAGACTCTATAGTTGTTGTGAATACTAAGTTTAAGAAATATATAATCGAATTCCTCTAGTGGTTGAAGAAAGTCTCTATTTATGGTGTTGGAGCGGAGTATATGCCAGGTTATCCACTAATGGGTTGGATGTGACAATGCGACATTGATTGTATATACTAGTCATGACACATGTTGATCTTGGAACATCTCCAATAGTTGTAGTTTTTGAGGAATTTTTGCATGACTAAGAAAGAAAGATGTGAGGGAAGTAAAAAAAAAAAAAAAAAAGCACTATTAATGCGCCCGACTGGGTCGTCTGGGCGCTGTGTTGCGCTTCATGCGACCAGGGTGCGAAAACTTGTTTTCTTTGGTGGGTCTCACAATTCTGATAAAAATAAATGCTTTGCAGGGAGATTTTTTTTTCTCTCCTCACTCTCTGGTCCACATAAGTCTTGTTTTCTCAAAAATTACACCAAAAATTTCTATTGGGGATGGCCTTAGAAGTCACGCCCATAAAAACGATAGAAAAAGTGATTGTTTTGTCATTCTCTACTGATCTTAGTGATCGGACTTCCCGACCTCAGTCCAAGTTTGGTGTGCACCCCTATTAAGTCATCAATATGTATGTGTACTGTATTATTCGTGATCATATCAAAACATCAATACTGATAATACAAGATACCATAAATATTTGTATGAATAATATGTGATACAATTATATATATTATATATAATTGTACTTGATATTATTGATATTGTATAAAAATTACATACATGTTTAAAAATGAAAAGCTGAATAAGCATGAAAGGCATTGGAGTTGAGAGAAGTGTAACTTCAGGAGATAGAACACAAGATTTTGGGGGACCCAAGATGAAGATACCAGAATTTGCAAGGAAAATGACCCTTCCAGCAAATTGCTAGTTTTATTATGAAGCAAATTGAAGCTGTCCAAGGAATTATTGGAAAATTCAGAAAATCCATCCTTAGCTTGTTTCTTTATTGTACCTTAAAAGTTGGTCCCTTCCTATGTATGTAACTCCACCACTCCCACTAGCCTAGGGCCAGGGCCAGGGCCTAGCCCATCTCAATTCTCAACCAAAAAAAAAAAAAAAAAAAAAAAGATGATTTCTTTCATTGTCACTCAATATTTTCTATTTCCATTTCCATTTCTGTTCATTGTAACCATAAAACAGAATGATTTTGGAATACTGCGACCCCAGCTACTATACACCAGATATCATAAGCAATAATGAATAGTATTCATTTGCAACTGTAATGAATGTTACAGCTATGAAATCTATTTACAAATAGTTAACATTCTATTTTTGTTCTGCTATGTTAGTTAATGATATATAATAATTTGCCAACTGTAACGGAAAAATTCAATTAGTAACATCTTTTTTGGTGATGAAGAAAACGCTTAGCCACTACTTGAAGTTATGTACGATGTAAACTCCGCCGTCCCTGTATAATTGTCCTATTTGTTTTTCATGAAAAACAAAATACCAAGGGAAGACCATGGAAAATGTTTTCCTCATTTTTGAGAAAAAAGTTTTCCAATGAAAAATGTTTTTCATGAACCAAACAAAGGGAAATCTAGTTTTCTTCAAATTTAAGGAAAACATTTTCCATGATTGCCCTTAGTTTAACACAAAATACATTCAAATTCAAAAAGTTAATTCCAGCAATGGTTCTCCGACTATATTGATTTTCCAAAATTAGTTCCTGACTTTTAATTTGGAAATTTTACGTCCCTTAACTTTCAATTTCTTTCCAATGAGATCCTTTCGTCAAATTACGGTAAATTGGACTTAAATGAAAGCGTAAAGTAGTCATTTTATCTGTCTAATTAATAATTCTTCGTATTTCTCCTTTGTATGCGCGACTTCGGACATCAGATTCACTTAATTGCTTAATCCCTAAATCCACTCAAAGAACAAAATTCCATTGGGGATTAAGCAATTAAGTGAATCTGATGTCTGAAGTCGCGTATACAAAGAAGAAATATACAAGGAAGAAATACGAAGAATTATACATTAGACAAATGAAATGACTACTTTACCCTTTCATTTAAAGTCTACTTTACCGAAATCTGACGTAAAAACCTTAATTAAAAAGAAATTGAAAATCAAATGACGTAAAATATCCAAATTAAAAATTGAAGACTAATTTTAAAAATTCAATATACTAAAAAGACCATTACTGAAATGAACTCAAATTCAAATTATCACAAGAGTAGAATCCTAAAATTTTCACCACCTGGAAAGCTAGCTGATATATTATTATTGATTCTTTTTCTTTTTCTTTCTTCCTTTTATGAATGGAGATTGGAGGGGTGGGTCAAAAAAAAAAAATGTTCCCAAGAAAATGAAAGTGACATTTTGTTTTATCATAAGATTTGGGACAGGTAATGCAGTGAAATGTAGTGCAGGGAGATGAGGTTATCTGATTTCTAGGATGTAAAAGGAATGTAGGCCAAATTTGCAATTAATAATATTGATGGCTTTGGGGTTTGTGTATTGGGAGGGGAGGGTCAAGATGGATGTGGCAAAACTGAGAGCTTCTGCGTGAAGCAGAGATGGCAGCCATCCGCAGGCTTTGCCTCACCAACCACCTCTTCCTCCATTAAAACCACTACTCTTTCTTTACTCCTATTAATATATTTTTCACAATTTATGGTATTAATTTCCGTTTAATCTCCTTCACATATGATGCATTGTATATATTTCACTTTTAATTTATTAACGAGTAATGCACAATTTAGTCTTCCACTGTAGTGATTTTTCTCGATTTAATTAGGTCATCGACTTTGACAATTTTACTCAATTGAGTCCTCAGCTGTTAGAATCAATGACTAGTCACTATAGTCGAATACTAACTTGGGTAAAACTATAGTCAATGACTAAATTGGGTATCAATACAGGTGAAATTACCAAGTTACCTTAACAAATGACTCAATTGCCTAATCATCAAAGTCAAGTACCTAATTGAGCACAGAAGTCTTTGTAATAAATCAAAAAAAATCATTATAGTGGATAACTAAATTGGACTGGATAACTAAATTGGACATTAACTCATATATTAACTATATTAAGACAAACAATCACTATAGTCGAGAACTACAAACTCTAACAGGATGTTTCATTCCAATGAAGGAATAGAGGAGGTGATGAAATAACAATTCTATTGAAGAGGAATAATGTAGGACTTTAATTCTATTAAATAATTTGATTCTCACATAATCGCACAATCTAACTTCTTTTCCCTTTTCTAGACAAAGGGTACAAAAGTACAAATATTCACTTTTATGATCCTTCTAATAAAATTTTTGATGAGAAAAATTAAAAATCATTATCTTAAATATAGTATAATATATATAGATAAGGGCATGAAATATGATTTATAAGTTGGCATTTGCTTTGTCAACGACGTAACCATGCACCATTGCATACTTAGGAATCTTTAATTCCATTTTATTCTTTCGTTTAATACAAAGATTATCGGGCACGTGCCACACAACGACTGCAACGTAACCGCTGGTATGTCTGTAAGCCGTTACTGTAACAGTAATTAGATGATAATGAATTGGATTAACAGATATTATGGACAGTTAAACCATAGATTTAATTACACCACGGAAACGATAAGTACCAACCACAATAAGAACCAAAACTCTCTTCCTCGTCCGTCACCGTTAACGTAACGGAGCTGTTCCTATCTTTGCTACATAGTACTTAACTACTCGCTTCTAATTTAAACACAAAATTAACAAAATCTTAAACACAAACAAAACTGAAACCTCCAAAAAATAAAACCATTTGATTTTGGGCTTTCACAGAGCGACGAGAGGATCCGACCCGAATATGTCTCCAAATTCTTGGAAGTAATTGTCCGCCGGCCAGGCGGGTTGCTCTGACCCGAACTCATGACTTGACCCGATGAAGGTATTATCACTGCAGGCTTCTTCGAAAATGTAGTTGCTAAGACCCATTTCGTCAAATAAGCCGGGTACGGGTACGGGTACGGATAACGGGTCTTCGAATTGGAAGAAGTCGTTTGGAAATAGGGTGTCGAACTGCGAGGAGAATGTGGAGAGGTTTTCCGGTGAGGAGAAGGTGGAGTGGTTTTCCGGCGAGGAGAAGGTGGAGAGGTTTTCCGGTGAGGAAGGGGTGTGGTACATTTTGACGGCTTGGTCTTGGTGCGGAGAGTCCCCATTGGAGGCTGAGGCGAATCGCAAAACGGATTTGGGAGAGAGTTGGTGGTGAGAATCGTCGCCGGAGTTGTTGCCGGAGTCAGCAGGCTCCGGCTTGACATCAGGCGGCGCCGTGGTGGGTACGGAGAAGTTGGTGAGAGCGTCAGGCCCACGCAACCGAATGGCCGCGTGGTCGTAAACCATAGCGGCTTCTTCGGCAGTATCGTAGGTGCCTAACCATAGCCTTACACGTCGCAGAGGATCTCTTATCTCCGCCGCCCATTTGCCCCACGGCCGTTGCCTCACGCCCCGATATTTCCTCGCATTGTTACCCGCCGCCTTCAACCGTGACTCGGCACTCTTCTTCCGCCTCTTCGCCGCCGCCGCCGCCGCCGTTCCCTCCGTCTTCAAAACCCCATCACTATCCCCGTTGCCGTCACCTCTCCCACACGGCAGAATCCTCAGCTCCGTCACATACCTCTTCACTCTCCGCCTCCCCTTCTCTTCATCTTCATCGGAGGAATCCGTGGCATCCCCATCAGTAACCGATATCCGTACAACTCTGGGCCACCCACCACCACCAATCTCCGGCAAATTTCTCCTGCCGGACGGCAATGATCTCACCATGGAAACTTGGTGCCTGTGCTCACTGTACTTGACAGTACTCGACAACATGGCTTGTTTTCTCCTCAGATTCGCATTGGAACGGGAGGGAGGCTTTGTAGAGTGCAAAAAGACTCGAGATTCGGAGAATAAAGAGAAAGATAAGAGTACCCACGAGGCTTGCAGCCAAATCGCTTTAACTTTTGATTATGTTGGAAGAAAGTTTGAGGAAAGCAACACAAAAAGAAGAGATTAAGGGAGACCCAATTCAAGAAGAAGCATAGATTACAGAGAGCGAGGAGCGAAATGAGTAGAGAAACACATATGGTGGGTGAGAAGTCTGAGCAAGAAAGGAGGAAACAGACCCACTTGTGCCGGAAAGAAAAGAAAGTAGGAATTTTTGGCAGAGGAAAAAGCAGAGAGAGAAAAGGGGAGGGAGAATCAGTACGTGTTTAATTTGAGAATCAAAGGAGTGTATGACTTGCTATTTGGAGTAAAAGCAAAGGGGTAGAAAAACTACGATCTTCAAGCTTTTTCCGTTTCGATTTTCTGGAGAAAATCTTTCTCTCGAGAAAGAGAGAATGGCGAAGAGTGAGTATAGGGCTGACTAATTATACTTAAAGAGTGAGTGAGTGAGAGGCGTGATTTAGGGGTCGTTTACTTCGTTTTTCTGTTTTTCCATTTCCAGTTTTTCATTTCTCCATTTCTCCAGTTTTCCTTCTCCATTCTTCCAGTTTTCCATTTCTCCAATTTTCTAATTTTCATTCCACATTCCCCTAATTCTTCATTTCTCTAATTTTTTGATTTTATTAAATACAACCACCTCATATAGCATTTTTACATTTATACAACAAATATAATAATAATAATAATAATAATAATAATAATAATAATAATAATGTGTGCATAAGGATGAGGAAAATGGAAAATGGAAAAAAGATAATAATAATAATAATAAAGATGATGATAATAATAATAATAATAACAATAATAATAATAATAATAATAATAATATGATGATGATGATGATGATGATAATAATAATAATAATAATAATAATAATAATAATAAAAAGATAATAATAATAATAATAATAATAATAATAATAATAATAATAATAATAATAATAATAATAATGATGATGATGATGGCAAAGGCGCAACTGAAGGAAAGGCAAAGACAAAACTAATAATAATAATAATAATAATAATAATAATAATAAAAAAAAGACAATACTAATAATGGCAAAGGCGCTGAAGCAAAGGCAAACTAAAACTAAAACAAAAACAACGAAAAGGCACGCAGCAGGAATCGAACCAGCGACCTCATGGCCAAAGAGCACTGTTCACCCGTGTTTCTCTCCATATCTCCATTTGGAGATATCCAAATTTTCATTCTCCAAAAATATACATGAAGTGGAGAAATGGAGAAGGAATAAGCATTTGGAGGAAGAAATTTAGTAAACAACTTCTCCAATTTTCATTTTTCCACTTCTCAATTTCTCTATTTTTCTGGAAAATTCTCCATTTTTCCAAGTTGGTAAACAACCCCTTAGTTGCTGTTTAGCGTTTAAGATCGTAATTAGTCCTGTTCTATAGGATCCGCATACTCCCAATCAATCAGTCCATGGATGATTATAAAATTTATCATAACTTACGTTATTTAGTATGAAGAAGTACAATATAATGATATAACTAAATAATACTTATTATTATTGCAGGAAAATAATATTTTCATGTGTAAATTTGATAGTATATGAGGTCGTTTTTGTTTAATTTGTAATCCTTCCTTTATATCATTTTTGTCTTACTTATTATTGAGTGATGTCATAGTGATGACTTTGTCCCCTTCTAAGTTATACACTACTACACTGTTTAGTAAAACATGGTTCTAAATTATTGTGTAATATTTAATAATTTTTTATAATATTATATGTCACATTTTAAACAAACCCACATACCTTGTTGCACATGTTCTCTGATCTTATTCTTATTTTATTTTATTTTTTTGAGTAAGAAAGGCAAAGGAGTTGGTCCAAAAGAATCGTTACTTGTGACGGAATTAAATCCGGGTTAACTTAAAATTCTTTCTTCCTTCTAAAAAAACTCATTTGTCATTTAAGCTACCCCATTAGATTATCTATCTTTTGTGTATAATAGTATATATACTGCATAAAAAATATAAATCACAGTAAAAATATTCTTATACAATAGATTTAGTCAAGATAGTGTTAGTAAGAATCAAACTCCCAACCTCTCTTAAGAGACGAGTGCACGGCCGCTCACGCCAACCAAACTGGTTATTCTTGATTTAGTATTTAACTATAAAGGTAATTTTTTTAAATAATTAGTCATCAATTATCCAGGTTTTTTTTTAGTTTTTCAATTCCTTCAATTTTCAATTTTTCATTCTCTATTTTTAAATTTAAAAATATATACAAATTTTTCGTTTTCATTTCTCCAAATAAAGATATTTTTTTTTCATTAATAAACACAATATTAATTTGTAAAACGTTAGCAGAATGTATTCTACATTCTACTACATTTAACATTTTGTTACAGTTTATGATCTCATGCTCATATTATAACCTCACTAGAAAATTTGTTCAAACAAATTAACAGAAAAAGTGTTTAAAGGTGTCCAAATATTGGTCTAGTGGATAAGAAGCTTCTATTTCAGACTTGCTTTTAATAGCATGGTGGGGGTTCAATTCCTTCCACGAGTACGGGGGTTTGGGTAAGAAAAAGAAAAAGGATTAGAAGCCCGGAGGGACTAGTGGTTTGATCGATCACCTTAGAGTCTCGCTCCAGTGACAATTATGGACTTATAAAAAGTCTTGCGTAAGTTGGATACCAAATGTAATTACTTTTACTTAAGTGCCCTTGTGCATTAAGTCAACGATAGGGATTAACTAAGAGGCATGTAATTACTTTTATTTAAGTGCCCTTGTGCATTAAGTCAACGATAGGGATTAACTAAGAGGCTGCTAAGAAAATGTGAGATTTATCTCATCCAATGACTCTTATATAGGGGTTCGATCTAAAGATTACTTATGATTAGTTTGGCATAATGTATTAAAAAATGTTGGACAAAAATTCTAAGGGTTTAAAATTAGTATGACATAAGTTGGAAACCTAATGTATTTAATATATATATATATATATATATATATATATATATATATATATATATATATATATATATATATAGGGTCAGGTTCCTGTGAGGTCAGGTCTTCCCGTGCGGTCAGTGCGGCATACACCATTAGGTATGCATAAATGCATCACACAGTGTTCGTAAATACACTATTATGTGTGGTGTATTTTTTTTTTGTGTGGTGTATTTTTTGGCATTTCATTCTGGTGTATTTTTGAACACTGTATGGTGCATTTATGCATACCTAATGGTGTATGCCGCATTGACCGCACGGGAAGACCTGACCTCACAGGAAACAAAATATATATATATATATATATATATATATATATATATATATATATATATATATATATATATATATATATATAGGGTAGGGTTCCAGTGAGAACATGTGCTTAGGTGAGAACACATCATGTGCATTCATCTAATTTTTTTAATGGTATAGATTAGATTAAGTGTGTGCAAACGCGCATTAAATGTGTGCAAACAAACTTAATCGCGTTTGCACACATTTAATGCGCGTTCGCGCACACTTAATCTAATCTAGACCATTAAAAAATATTATATGGATGCACACAATTTGTTCTCACGCTTTCACGTTCTCACCTAAGCAGGTGTTCTCATATGATCTCATATATATATATATATATATATATATATATATATATATATATATATATATATATAAGTGGTAAGAGGCAATGCAACATGTACGAATGAGATTCCTAGGAAATGGGCCGGTCCAACGTTTTGGGTTGTTGAGTACCACCACGTTCAACCCGTCACCCACAATGCATTAAAACAAACAAACAGCCTTCGTTTATATAGAAATGATTATAATTTATATTACATTTTCAAATTTTGGCATATTTGGCGGATTATTATTATTATTATTGTTATTATTATTATTATTGTCATTACCAAACACGAGCCACTTGAAATTTAGAGGTGTTAAAAGACATTGCAACGTAAATATATTTTACACGTACATACAAACATACGTATATATAATTATATATGTATATACACAAAATAATTTTTAAAAATATCTTTTTAGATGGTGGGTTTTAATCAAATACAATTTATATTTTGTCTTCATGCATGCATAAACTAATACTAAATAAAAAATACACACGTGTTTGGGAGCACGTGTGGTATAGTAGAATGTTAATGTAGATGCCAAAAGAGAATTAGGGAAAGGTGGCAGTGATTTGCCGATTTAATTTGTCTAATTATATGTGCTCTTCTACTCCACCATTTTGTGCTTACTTTTTATTATTTGTTTTCTTCTTCTACTACATCCATAAATTAAACTACGCGTTTTGCAGTTGTGTATTATTATAATGAACACATAAAAGGGATTAACTTTAGGTAAACTTGGAACATCTTTAATAAATGGAATTAAAAACCAAAAAAAAAAAATAGAAATTATGAGAGAGAATATTATTCAATAATCTATTGTGAAAAATACTGATTTGGAAATTATAAATTATATTTCTGATGAGTATTTCAAATTTGAGTTAGGTTCTATATGATTATAATTCATTAATAAGAAAAGATAAAAATGTTTAAAGGGGTTATATTATATGTCAATTATCTGCTCCTATGTGCTATGTACAAAAATGTTTTACGAGGTGAAGGAGATGTTATAAGCTTAATGCTGAATTTGTGTGTCTCTTTATTTTCTATTCTTTAATTATTTTTGCAGGATGTCTTGCATGAGCATTGGACATGAAAACAAGCGAACCACCTAGAGATATCATTTATTAGTTAGTCAGTTGGATTGTTAATTATTTTGTACTAATACGTACCTTGAGTTGTTTTAGTTAGCTGTTTTTATCTTGTGCGTTTGCGTATACGTAGATACCTAAACGTTGCGGTAGCACTCCTTTTCCCTTTGGTTTTATTTTTGCTTCCGCAACTGTAATGGA